GTTATAAAAAACAGCCCTCCTACCCCCACCTCACAAAATTATAAAGTATCCCATTCACTATATGGCCAAACAAAAATGATGTCCAAATTCCTATTCCTTATGTTACTTGCCCTTGCAAATGATGTGGAGTCTAACCCTGGTTCCCCAGCTAATTCTAGTCCGAATCTCCCCACTAAAAAATGCCTCTCTTGTGTGCACTGCAACATCCGTAGTTTACTCCCTAAACTGGATGCACTACAAGCCTGGTGTTCCCATTACAAACCAAAAAAATCATTGTGCTCTCAGAATCATGGTTAATAACTAAAATACCAGACACCACCATTGCAATACAGGGGTATTCATGTTTTAGAAATGACAGAGCAAAGAGAGGAGGAGGCATTGTTATTTATGTTGACAATTCCATAAAGATTACCCCTTTACAAAACGTTAGTCCTCCTGCCACCTTTGATTTCCTTTCTGGCACAATTGAGATCCCGTGCAGTAAATCAATCATTATTGCAGGAATCTACCGCCCACCTAGCTCCCCTGTGCATTCCCTTTCTGACATAGCCCATCTCCTTAGTGAAACCATAGCTCAAAACCCAAAAAGTGATCTGTTGGTCTTTGGAGATTTTAATATTGATTGGCTAAATCCTAAAAATAATAGTTCTTGCACGCTGTTTAAGACTTTGCAGCTAACGCAATTAATCTCCTCCCCAACTCGCATAATCATTAAAAGCCATAACCATACCTTGCTAGATTGGATTCTCTCCACTTCTCCTGATAGAATCCAGGAGGTTGGTGTTCTCCCAAATACGTTCAGTGATCACTGTTTAGTGTACTGCGTGCGCAAAATAAAGGCTATTAAATCCTCTCCCAAGATTAAAATAACTAGGTCCTTCAAAAAATTTAATCTTGAATCCTTTCTAAATGACATCAAGAACCTCCCATGGCACAGATTAAACATTATCCCAGATTTAGACTGTGCTGTTGAATTCTTTCAGTCTGAACTACAAATTTGGAATTTGGATGCCCCGCTGCATAAGGTGAGGGTAAAAGAAGCACATATGAACTGGATCACAGCTGACCTCATCCAAATGTACCAGTTTCGGGATTCTTTGTGGTCAAAGTTTAAGCGTACTGGCTCTATGAATGATCACTGTGCATTTAGACAATGGCGAAATATATTCACAAAACAGACAAAATTGGCCAAGGCCCAATATTTCTATGCAAATCTGAACAATAACATCTCAAACCCTAGAAACATTTGGAAAGTCATAAATAAACTACAAACTCCCCCAATCCACTCCCAACCCTCCACTGTCAAAGTGGGTAACAAAACCCTGCAACTTCCCTTAGATGTAGCAAATGCCTTTAACAATTATTTTGTCAGATGCTCTACTGCCCTGATTGCCAAGCTAATAAATGACACGCATCCTGAAACTACAAATGTGGATTAGGTCACACTAAATTTGCAAAGGCCCAATATAGACAAGTTTATTTTTAGACCTGTACCTGTTAGTGTCATTAAAAAACATCTTAATGGGGGGCGTGTCTAGGCACGGAGAGAGATGGCCGCATGAGCTCTTAGCTCCGCACCACGAGCAAGGCAATAGATTTCCTAAGTGAGAACCCTGCGGGAAAACAACTCATACTCCTAAGATGTCGCAACCCAAAACCCGCCGGCACCAAGATAAACCCGACAAAATGAGCTTCTTCGCTCAGAAGAAAGGGGCAGCTCTGGCAAAACAAGCAGACACAGCAGGCCACCAAGATGGCGCCGACCACTCAGGGGGGAGCAGCCCAAGATCAGAGGCGGAATCACTGCATGACGGAGAACCGCTCACAGCTGCATTCCTAAAGAGAGCCCTGGACGAACAATCACGAAGGCTGGTCGCTACCTGGCAATCCAGCGTGGCAGAACTCAAACGGGACCTCCAAGATGTCGGATCTCGCACAACGCACGTGGAGGCAAAGATGGAAGATTTAGTCGACGCGCACAACACGTCCACAGAGCACTTAAAATCCCTCACAGACCAGATCCAGAAATATGAAGCAAAACTCATGGATCTAGAGGATCGTTCTAGAAGGAGCAATATCAGGCTGAGGGGCATCCCAGAGACGGTCCTCCCGGCAGACCTACCCAGTTATGTACACGGCTTCTTCAAGCTCCTGACACCAGAAATACCCACAGACATGTTGCTGCTAGACCGTCTGCACAGGGTACCTAAACCTCAACATATTGCCACATCCTTACCCAGGGATGTGTTATTGAAAGCACACTACTTTCATGTTAAAGACCTCCTGATGAGAAGAAGCAGAACCGTGAAAGACCTACCGGCTGAATACACAAGCATTAAAATGTTTTCAGACCTTTCAGCAGCCACCCTGAAACAACGGAAAACCTTCCAACAGGTGACAGAAACCCTACGCGCCAACCGTATCCTGTACCGCTGGGGCTTCCCTGTCCGTCTGATTGTCTCGAGAAATGGAACCACCACCGCAGTACAAACAGCAGAAGAAGGCATACACCTCCTGCATCAATGGAACCTAACCGTCTTAGGCGACACGCAAGCCCTAAAACCACCGAGACAAGTGGTCAAGGACTGGCACATCGCCGACTGAGGCCTTACCGCAAGTATACCCACTTCGGCGGCCAACACGTTCTTAATAGGCTCACAATTAACATTGACTCCTGGCTACTAATACCCCAAGGGCCAGCCTGCTAGAGCCTGAAAGTCGCTGATATACTTAGCTCCACTGCAATTTGCAGTACGCAAATAACTGTCAATTTTTTTTTTTTTTATGCCATTTTTACTTGTTCATATCGTTTGCAGGATGTACTAGCAACATAGTAATGTATATGACCTAATTGTTTATCTGTTACTGTTAAATGCCACCTCCCTGAAACATGCGTAACCCCCTGGCCACACTCTATTTGACGGTCGCCAAAGACCGATACCGCACCCTTTAAGCCAGGGACACCAGACATAATATGGCGGACGACTCACTCATGGGTCTAGTCTGCAGTCATACTCACGCAGCTGGGAGACCCCCGGGTATAAAGCCTTACCGCAAATATACCCGCTTTGGCGACCTACACAATCTTATTACGCCCACAATTAACGTTGACTCCTAGCCACCATTACCCTAAAGGCCAGCCCGCTAGAGCTTGAAAGACGTTGGTACACTTAGCTCCACTGCAATTTGCAGTACGCAAATAACTGTCAATTTTTTATGTCATTTTAGACTTGTTCATATCGTTTGCAGGGTGTACTAGCAACATTGTAATGCATATGACATTATTGTTTATTTGTTACTGTTACATACCACCTCCCTGAAACATGCATAACCCCCTGGCCACATTCTATTTGACGGTCGCCAAGGCCCGACAACGTACCCCTTAAGCCAGGGACACCAAACGTAATATAACGGACGACTCACTCATGGGTCTAGTCTGCAGACATGCTCACGCAGCAGGGAAACCCCCCCCCCGGTATAGAACCCATCCGAGTTTCTGACCCCTACCTCTTTCTTAGATTGAAGTCCCAGAAGGGCTTCTCACTATATTTACAAAAGGTGCCTTTCACTCATCATATGGTTCACACTTAAGGAACACACAGGACCACACCTGACCTAGGGATGTTCCTCAAAAGAACATTTGGCACCATATACCATTAGCCTGCTCAGGCCATCACCTGTCCACCATCTCCGATCCCACGCTCCCCACGGCGCTAAACAGCAGCGCCTTGCACCGAGATCGGGCCATTATGTATATACTTTGGTTTATTAAGTTTATTTCTTTCTATCCCTGTTTACCTTCCCAGTTGGGATACCGCCCCCCCCTACCCTACCCAAACATTCAGGCAAAGTCGTGCCGTACAAAGTGGAACCCTTGGGTCCTCGGTTTGCGAACAACAGCACAAAGTATACCTCACTTCTCAAGACACTGACCTGACTGATAGCGCCCTACCTTATACCATACACTGATAGTTTATTCCCATAATGTCAGGGGGCTCAACATGCCACACAAAAGGCACATGCTACTTCAAGAAGCCCGAAAATCAAAAGCAGATATACTGTGTCTTCAAGAGACCCATTTTCCCAAAGCCAAAATCCCACAATTTGGAATGAAGCATTTTCCCCATCAGTTCCATGCCACGCACATATCCAAATCCAGAGGAGTCTCCATATATATACACAATTCAGTAGCCTTTGAACTAGTACACTCCATCTCAGACGACCAGGGCAGGTACCTGATTGTTGTCTGTCTGTTGAATGACGTACAACATCCGGTGGTAAACCTCTACGCACCTAACGAAAATCAGAAAAACTTTTTGACTAGTACCCTCCTAAAAGTGGCAGCTGCACAGCGAGGCAACACTATCATATGCGGAGATATAAATCATGTCCTAGACCCAACCCTAGATACCTCTATGCCCTCCTCCACCAACCGACAGAAATCCCTCAAACCAACCTGCAAAGCCATAACACAACTGTTGATGAAATTCAACCTTTATGACTGCTGGAGATTACTCCACCCCCTGGACAGAGAGTATTCATATTACTCTAGACCTCACAAAACACACTCTAGGATAGATGTAATACTTATATCAGGACCATCTCTCAACCTACTTCAAAAATGCCATATAGGTGACATCATATGGTCAGATCACGCCCCAATACTCGCTACATTCAGGGACGACTTCACCTTTAGAGGTTGCAACCCATGGCGACTTAACAGCTCCATTTTACACGACGACAAATTCAGCTCAGACATGGAAATAGCACTCAAACACTACTTCTCCGAGAATGAGACATCAGGGATGTCCCCAGCAGTGATATGGAGAGCCCATAAGGCCGTAATGCGCGGGTTGTTTATACGAAGGGCCTCTTTTCTAAAAAGGACCTCCCAAACTAAATACCTAAATCTATTAAGGAAATTAAGAGACGCTACAGTGTCCCACCTTCTCCACCCGAACCCAAAAGATGCTGCAATCATCGCCCAAACCCAATCAGACCTCAACGACATTAATATAGCAAACACAACCCGAACACTTCAAAAACTGAAAACCAGAGAATATTGCTTGGGTAACAAAGCTAGCTCACTCCTGGCCACCCGGCTCAGGGACGTGCAAGCACAAACCAAAATAGCATACCTCACTTCCCACGACGGACAGAAAATAATTAAGCCACAACAAATCAGCGAACTTTTTGCTGATTTTTACAGCAAACTCTAAAATCTAAAAGATGATGCTACAGTACACCAGCCCACGAAGGGAGAAATCTCTACTTTTCTAGACAAAGTCCGCCTACCTACACTCTCAGCGTCCCAACAGGAGCTCCTGGCTGAACCCATCTCCCAAACAGAGGTACTTAAGGTTATACAAAATCTGCCGTTAAATAAAACCCCAGGCCCAGACGGGCTGCCGAACACATATTACAAGAAGTTCTCCTCCATTCTCGCCCCCCGGCTAACGTCACTCTTCACTTTTACCACAACACAAGAGAACATACCGCCAGATATGCTCACGGCCAACGTGGCCACCCTACCCAAACCCGGCAAATCACCAACCCAATGCGCAAATTTCAGACCGATCTCCTTATTGAATTCGGACGTGAAGATCCTGGCCAAAATCTATGCCAATAGAATGACATCCATACTGCCGACCATAATACACTCTGACCAAGTTGGCTTTGTACGAAGCAGGCAGGGAGCTGATGGCACACGAAAAGCACTCGCGTTACTACACACAATGCACAGACGCTTCCCCAACAGCCTCCTTTTGTCCTTAGATGCTGAGAAGGCCTTTGACCGTCTGCACTGGTCGTTCCTGCAGGCGGTCCTGGTCAAATTTGGATTCCCATCACATTTTATTTCCATGATCAAATCATTATACAGCAACCCTGAGGCCCGGGTCTTCACGTCTGGATTCCAATCGAGGCCTTTTCCCATCACCAACGGCACCCGCCAGGGGTGCCCTCTTTCACCCCTCCTATACATTCTAGCTTTAGAACCACTAGCCGAATCCATACGCTCATCACCAGAGATAACGGGAATCAAAATAGGTGGGTCGGAATACAAACTAAATCTTTTCGCTGACGATATCCTCCTAACCCTAACAAACCCACACAAATCTTTACCAGCATTTCACGACTTACTGCAACAATACAGCCATTGCTCTTATTACAAGCTGAACCTATCTAAAACACAGGCCATGGGGGTGGGAATGGAGGACGACTATCTATCCAACCTGAGAAGTCAGTTCTCATATGATTGGAGGAGAGACCACCTCACATACCTGGGCATTAAACTTCCGCACACCATATCCAACTTGTACCATTTAAATTATGTTAAACTCAGTAAAGAGATTACTAATACCCTACTACACTGGCGGAATAAATTTATATCCTGGTCAGGACGAATAGCAGCGGTAAAGATGGTAATACTACCCAAATTACAATATCTATTTAGAACACTCACACTGACAATACCGTCCACCTACTTTCTATCTCTTCAGAAACAAATTAACTTATTCATATGGCAGGGAAAACGTCCGAGAGTTGCCTTATCTACATTGCACCGACCAGTGCAGATGGGTGGCATAAGCCTCCCTAATGTGAAACTTTATCATAAAGCTGCGGTATTGGCCAGCCTTTTCCCCATCCATCAAAGCAAGCCCCCTCCCCAGTGGGTCTCCATAGAACAACACTGGCTGCAATCACAGGACATACAAACAACATTATGGACGCTACCCCACTTAAGGGCAAACACCACAAAGGCACTCCCCGCTACCTTAACAACACTAAAAATCTGGGATGACACCCGCAAACTCCTGTGCAGCTGCCATCCAACCCCCCTATCAACCCCAATTAAAACTCTGACGCATAAAATACCTGATTTCAACTTCAGAATATGGAACAGATGTGGGGTGTTTTACATACACTCCCTATTAGAAAAAGGAGAATTAGCCTCATTCGACCATTTAAAAGTCACTTATACACTGCCGAACATAGCACACTTCTCTTACCTCCAGCTGAAATCCTGGTGGAAGACCCAAGCTCCACATCCCATATCACAAACCACTAGTACCTTAACCCACTTCGAAAAGAGTATCATGGCAGACACGCCAGCGGTAAAACCCATCTCAACCATATATAAGCTATTATTGCCCCAACAGGGAATAAAATCCCTCACGTGTGTACGCTCCTGGGAAAAAGATCTAGACCAAACACTGCCAGAGAGACCTGGCTGGCTGTAGCAAACGCGACCAGAGGCCTGACATTTTGTGCTTCACACTTAGAGACGACTCGTAAACTTTTTTACCGTTGGTACATGGTTCCAACGCGCCTAGCTACCATGGACCCACAGATGTCCAGCACCTGCTGGCGCTGCAAACAAGAAGCAGGCACTTTTTTACACACTTGGTGGAAATGTACAAAACTCCAGCCGTACTGGAAAGAAGTTATCTCACTCATACACCAACACACCTCAATTACGATACCAAACTCCCCAAAAGCCTTGTTACTACTCATGTGGGAAGCCGAATACCCAAAACCAATTAAATACCTACTTCTACACATACTAGTAGCTGCTCAAAACCTTATCGCAAAAAACTGGCTATCACCCACCAATGCAACAATGCAAGAATTAATCAAACACCTGTCCCAAATTGGGAAATTTGAATCTTGTATATCCCGCATTCCACCCAATAAGAGCTGGAGGCACGAAGTATGGGAAAATTGGGAACTGAAACACCCGACCTGATGACAACATTTCCATAGGGCAGCCCAGCATTAGCGTTAACACACAACCAAGAGAGCCAAAGTAACACTAGGCGGACGGCAATTTGTATCTATCAGAACCATGTAACGCTGTTCAGAACCATGTAACGCTGTTTAGCATCATTGTTGAAGGATGTATGTTCCACTGCTAATATCCCCTCCCCTTCTTCCTTTCTGTACCCCTTTTTCCTTTTGTTCGTATATCTTACGACAAAATAAAAATTGTCAAATTGAAAAAAAAAAAAAAAACATCTTAATAATCTAAAAATGAAAAACCAGCCCAGACCTGATCAAATCCAAGCAATGCTGTTGAAGCTCAGTGCGCCGGCAATTGCTAAATCCATCTCAACTCAAATTAATGAATCCTTGGTGTCTGGATACATACCCAAACTTTGGAAGACTGTGAGAGTAGTGCATATCCATAAAAGTGGTGACACTACTTTAGTTTCTAACTATCGCCCAATATCATTGCTCCAGGTATTGTAAAAAATATTAGAAAAATGTGTCCATACGCAACTATGTGAGTACTACCAACAATTAAACTATCTGACCCCTCATCAATCTGGCTTTCGCCAGAATCACTCCACTACAACTGCCCTCTTAAAAGTTTGCAATGACATCCAAACTGGCATGGAACAAGGAGCCCTAACTGGAGCTATTTTCCTTGATTTTGCTAAGGCCTTTGACACAGTAGACCACGACATTCTACTGCACAAACTCAAAAACTCAGGTATTGGTGATCGTTCGCTAACCTGGTTTTGATCGCATGTATCGGATCGCTCGATAATATGTCCATTTCTGACAGTGACTCCCTCCCTCTCCCAGTCACGTGTGGTGTTCCCCAAGGTTCCAGTCTCGGCCCCCTACTATTTACATTAGTTATAAATGATCTGCCTAATATCTGCAAATCCTCAAATGTACACATGTACGCAGATGACACAGTAATCTATGCGAGCAAATCCAATCTACCGCAACTTGAGGCTGTGCTCCAAGACCAGTTTACAGAGGTAGAAAAGTGGATCGCAAAAAAACAAACTCTTCCTGAACACTGACAAAACTATCACAATGATCTTTGGAACAGTACTTAAATCACACAAATTACACAATTCCCACCTATCCATCAAAACAAATTCAAATGGCACACTGACTGCAGTCCACTCTTTCAAATACTTGGGTATGATATTAGACCACAATCTATCTTTTGCCCTGCACATAGAAAATCTTGCATCTAAACTTTATCCAAAACTAGATACCCTGTACAGAAACAAATCCTGCCTAAGCCCTACAGTAAAGGAAAAGATTGTACAGCAAATGCTGATGCCAATCATTGATTATGGGGATGTAGTATCTGCATCGCAATGCCACATTAATAAACTCAACACATTGTAGAACTCGTTCTGCCGATTTGTGCTACAATGTAATTACAGAACCCACCATTGTGACATGCTAAAAGAACTAAACTGGCTGTCACTGGAATCCAGACGCACCCTTCATCTTTCCAGCCTTGTGTTTAAGAGCTTTTCTGGGAAACTCCCACCCTACCTGAACAAAATTATTTTCCCAGCTGTTCCCACTTCCTATAAGCTCTGATCCAGTACCAACACTTTACTTAGTCTACCTCAATACAAAAAGAAAGTGGCCCGATCCTCCTTCTCCTACAGAGCACCGCAATTGTGGAACGACCTCCCGCACAATTTAAAATCTTCCCTAAGCCTAAAGTCCTTTTAAGAGATCCTCTCTACATACCTCAAAACAGAATTCACCTGTCATGGTTGATTATATATTTCCTACCTGTTCTGTGTTAAATTTTGTATTGTATATAAAATTTTGTATTAATATTGTTTTTGTATTTTATTGTACCCTAATGTAACAAGGCAATGATTTGTGGACCCAGGACATACTTGAAAACGAGAGAATCTCAATGTATCTTTCCTGGTAAAATATTTTATAAAGATATAAATATATAAAATATATATCATTTATAATTTTCTTCCGAATATAACAATACCCACCATGTAAATTATGTAGTTAATAGTTAAATATATATTTAGAATTTGTGTGTGTGTGTGTGTGTGTATATATATATATATATATATATATATATATATATATATATATATATATCTCTATCCATGTTTGTATATACATATATATCCATGTTTGTATATATACATATATATCCATGTGTGTATATATACATATATATCCATGTGTGTGTATATATACATATATATCCATGTTTGTATATATACATATATATCCATGTGTGTATATATACATATATATCCATGTGTGTGTATATATACATATATATATCCGTGTGTATATATACATATATATCCATGTGTGTGTGTGTATATATACACATATATCCATGTGTGTGTATATATACACATATATCCATGTGTGTGTATATATACACATGTATTAAGGCAGTTTTGCCTGTATTTGTGGGAGGGGCTTAAATTAATTCACTCCCCTATATAAGGGACACCCCTTACCTGACTCATATCGCTTGAGGTCAGCATCAGAATGATTTCCACTTCCGGGTCATCCAGACGCCATTTTACCTGATTACTCCATGAGGTTTTCTAAGCTGAGCTGTGTCAGTAATCCAGCCACAGGCTTTTCCGGCCTACCACCTTCTTTCTTCAATCTATCGCTGTGGATGGTGTCCAAGTGACTCACAAACAGTAAGTCGACCTACCCGTTACGCCAGGCATCAGTCCCACGGCACCATGCAAGGGTCAGGTCCTCACTTTACTGCTGCATTTTGTCTAAGTCTGTTCTAAAACCATTGCATGTTCATGCATATCATTCGTTTAAACCCCCTACTGGTCTTTGGGTGTACTACAGACTTCTTAGACATTATCGCATTTCATGTACAAACCAACGAACCACTGCATCTTTGCCTACACACTGACCCCTACCGGTCATTCGGTGTACTACAGGCTTCTCAGACATTATTGCATTTCATGTACAAACCAACGAACCACCGCATTTTTCACCTACACACTGACCCCTATTGGTCATTCGGTGTACTACAGGCTTCTTAGGCGTTGTTTGCATTTTCATGTACAAACCAATAAACCACTGCATTTACACCTACACACTGACCCCTACTGGTCTTTCGGTGGACTACAGGCTTCTTAGACATTATCGCATTTCATGTACAAATCAACGAACCACTGCATTTGCGCCTACACACTGACCCCTACCGGTCATTCTGTGTACTACAGGCTTCTCCGACATTATTGCATTTCAGGTACAAACCAACAAACCACTTAATTTTTCACCTACACACTGACCCCTATCAGTCATTCGGTGTACTACAGGCTTCTTAGACATTATTGCTTTTCATGTACAAAACAATAAACCACTGCATTTTCACCTACACACTGACACCTACCAGTCATTCTGTGTACTACAGGCTTCTCAGACATTATTGCATTTTATGTACAAACCACTGCATGTTTCACCTACATACTGACCCCTATCAGTCATTCGGTGTACTACAGGCTTCTTAGACATTATTGCTTTTCGTGTACAAAACAATAAACCACTGCATTTTTACCTACACACTTACACCTACCGGTCATTCAGTGTACTACAGGCTTCTCAGACATTATTGCATTTCATGTACAAACCAACGAACCACGGCATTTTCGCCTACATGCTGACCCCTACCGGTCAATCGGTATACTACAGTCTTCTCAGACTTTATTTCACTTCATAAGCAAACAAACTAACTACAGCATTTTCACTTTTATACTGACTCCTATCTGTCATACGGTAGGATTAACCCCTTAGGGACACATGACATGTGTGTCATTTCATGATTCCCTTTTATTCCAGAAGTTTGGTCCTTAAGGGGTTAAAGGGTATTTTTACCATACAATCAGCATTTATGACCCCTACTGGTCAACAGCAAAACTGTCTTCACATGTCATATACAATTTACCAGCCAATATAAATTACACATAAGATTGTTTTAACCCCTTAAGGACACAAGACATGTGTGACGTGTCATGATTCCCTTTTATTCCAGAAGTTTGGTCCTTACGGGGTTAAACATAACCATAAACCATAAATGAAACTCCAGAAAGGGCTCAAATTCAGGTTTAATTCACAATAATTTACATTTCACATCAAGACCAACAGTGGTTCTATCAACACTGCCACCTACAGGTCTGTCAAGTACATTGACAATTTTCATGGGGTTTTACAAACACCAAAACACTTACACCTATAGGTCAACAGACACTCTACATTTCACATACCAATCAGTATCCAACTACACTGCCACCTACAGGGCACTCGGCAGATCTCCAGTGCACTTGCATTTTGCAACACCATGTTCACTGACCCCTACCATTCAATAAGACATACAACAATTCACATAGCAAGCACTATATCAACATCAGGTATAAATACATATATTATTACACAGTAGCAGACGCGTCTGTATATATGTAACTGGTAATATAGTTCACATACATTTTTCACAGCACGCTGCTCACGCAACAGACTTTCCCCTAGCAAGGGGACATACAACATACAAGGTGGGGACAGACCACATTTTCACTTGTACATACGGCACTTAATGGGTTAAGATTGATACATATTTAACCAGTATGGCTACGATGTTTAATATTTACACATCATGGCACTTTACTTTTCACATATACTGTACGTATTAAGATAAGCTTGGTCTATGCCATATTTCCTTATGCCATACGGTTTTATCCATTCAGGTTACAGTTACTACTAAAAAACCTATACGGATTGTCAGGTTCAATACCATACTACCAGGTACATACACCTGCTCACGTAGTTATCCATCTCTTACCTTCCCTGGAATAGTAATAGTGTACTGGCAATTAGGGTTCTAGGGCCCAATAGGTATTACCCCCTTTTTTCTCTGCATTATGCTTCGGTTAGTGGTCCCGCGAGGCCAACACCCCGCCTCACACTCGGAGGCATACACCCCTCGGGCCACTCGTGAGCTAGCCGCCTCGCATTGTATCATAGAGAGGGCCTCACCTGTCACTCCCCTTCCTATTTTCTGGTTACTGTCACCGAGAGGCCAACATCCTGCCACAATGTTCGGTGGCCACACAAAATCCCCTCGCGCCAAGCATAGATAGAGCCTCTCAAGCCACTTGGCAACTAGCAGGGCCTCACCAGTCACCAAAAAACACCAAGCCTAATCGTTTCGCCTTACGGCTTAGCTAGCAAGCCAGTACAAGAACCCTGGGTACAAATAATTGCATCTTTATTGTTATTTAAGTATTTTTCCAAAAGATGGTGAAGAATCACCTCTTCCTAGCACCCCGGCTAGAATTGATACACCTTCAAGCAGAGGAGATGTTGCTAGTCCTGCAGCAATCAGATCCTGGACGATCCCACACATTACCACCGACCTAAGGAGGTGACAAATCCCCTACCCTGCTACAGCAAGGAAAGCAGAGTTATTTAAACTCCTCCATACATCAACGGACAACACGGAGGCAGGGGAAGGCCCAGCTACATCAATTCAGGTGACACCCAGGCTATGCTAGCCTCACTCATAAACTCATGAGCCAAAAATTTTATGACAGACTGGCAATCTCGAGTTGGTCACCACAGCCCTCGCAAGGCTGGGCCTCACGTTACTGTACAACCAGCACCAACCGAAACTCGGTTACCTGGTACAATCAATTCTTATGACACACAAGATGTTAACCCTGCACGTATGATCCCAGCACATTGGGGAAGCAAGGCATATATATGTATGATGATGTATCTGTGATGGTCAGATTCAGGGATTCCAGGTAAATCGGGAACTGACCATCTCTTGGATGGGTTGGTATTTGGAATATGTACAGATGTTTATTTGTGCAGGTACCCATACAGAAGGGGTTCTGTCCCAAACAAATGGACGAGCACTCTCAGGCTCCAGGTACCAGCACCTCTGAACTACCAGAGACGATTGATATGAGTAGTTGCATTGCATATAGACTGTTGCATATATGTTCAAATGGTTCAGGGCACATGACAAACCATGTGGCCCAATACAACTTACAAATAACGTACTCACCATCTGTACACACCAATGCATTTTCAACACTACTGACTCATCACCCTTCCAGACTTGTAGTAGATTTACTAAAGCTCGGGAGCTTCAAAGGGCTCCCATACAGGTATCATAAACACACCTTCAAGGAATATAGCATGCCCTCACTTACAGTCAGCACAACAAAACCATTGGCTGAAAACACACTCATAGCCAAGATTTGCAGAGTGGTCTTCCAATCTCCACCATTTACAGCATGGCACCAAACACACACATTGGTATTGTCACAAGGAATCTTCCCTTAAACAAAGACTAACCATAGACTTATTGGCACCACACACCTCCGCTACCCCAAGTCTCAACTCCCTTCTTACTATACAACACCATTGATCTACCTTTACAGCTATCACTCAAGCATGGGTTAAAGCTTGGTTAAGTAAGACCAATATCATCAACACAGTAAACAGCTACCATCTACCCTACACACTGGCACTTACATGGCATAAATTGGGCAATCCTTTCCCTTCTCAACTTTCGAGCTACAGATTAACCTACTATCGATATTCGCAGATACTCTGTGCTGGTTATGATAACATATCCAGAGGCATTACAGTCATACACTATCTAGAAGACTTCTTGTTGCTCAAAGAAAGCATATTTTTCACTAGAAGCCTCATGGCAGCTTAGTCTGGTTGACCACTTGGGCGTCCCAGTACCCCATAAGAAACAGAAGGCGCAGACACTATCATCACATTACTGGGCATATGACTAGAGTCGGCATCCATACACGCAAGTTACCACAAGACAAATAGGGAACATTCTCAACTAAATCAATCACTACCTGCTTAGTACTTACAACTACAAGGAACTACAATCCCTACCAGGTTCCTTAATTTTGCCATGCCAATCATACCACAAGACCACGCTTTCACATCCAGAGTACTGTCCCCTTTTTTCCACACTTCCAACATGACGATCAGAGGAGGTGCCTAGACACCTCAGCAACAGCAGACCGGCACATGGGGGGGGGATTTCTTAATCACTTGGCATGGTAAAAGCATGTTCCTTCCAGGATTGTCTGACACTTCTCCAACCAGATGGTCAGACGCAGCGTATACCACGGGTTTGGCAGCGATCTACCGGGAACAATTGCTTTGGGGCTGTTGGCCATGGCATCCAGGTTTGGAAATTTTTCCACCACTTCAGCCCCTTTGGGAGATCTACCCCATTGTAGCAGCTGCTGTGGCATGGGGTAAATCATGGTCAGGGTCATCAATCCGTTGTTACTCAGACAACTAAGCACATATCATATCATCAACAAACGCCACTACTCATCCATAAGTTCATGATGTTTCTGGGGAACTCACTTGGTTGGCCACTTATCACATTTCACTTTCATGTACCAGACGGGGGTATACATCCCTGCCGACAACTGTCTCATTTATATTCCAGGCATGTTCATCATACGCTTCCTACAGCCGCCCATACAGTCACGTCCACTCTTTCGTTCCAGAGACAAAATCATGGATTAGACATACTCATGCAGCATAGCATGCACTATCCCACCTAGCACTTTCGTCCCATACTTGTAGAACACATAACACAGCTTTTCACCTGGCTTAAAGAATCTCATTGGAACACGACATAGCTCAACCTGTGTCACAAAATTTCTCCTAAGTTTTGCTTATTTTTGCCACCTTAAACTTAACCTATCTCATACACCATTAATTATATATTTTACAGGCATTCAACAACACATGATAACCTATGGCCAAAACTACCATAAACTTAATGCTATCATACCAGAAAAGAATATACTCAGAGGTTTTCAGGAATCCATTCCCCCACGTTCCTCTCAGAGATTACCAATAGCCATCCAACTGTTCATCCTTATCGGACCTATTAGATCTACAACCATTCAATTATACTACCAAGTTGGCCATTACCAGCCATGCACATTGCCTTTTATGCCTTTCTCAGGCCAGAGAATCCACTACCATCACCACCACTCAGACAGATCATTGTCTTCAACGATCCCACGTACGTAAACACATATATCATTACCTATTGGCTCTACCACATTCCGAAATGAGTCAACATGCACCAACAGTAGAGATAACATACTATCCTACCCACAACAAATGGTGCCCACTTTCGGTCCTAGATTCCTACCTTCAAAATCCTTTCAGGAATTAAATACTGTAATGCATTTAAGGAAATGTCTGGTTAATTTGTATATATTTGTTGACTGTATTAAATCTTTGATTATTCATTTTTGCCCTCTTTATTTACAGGCCTACCGTATCGTCGGTATCGGCACACCACAACCGACTTGCTCCCTTTACACTATCCTAAGCTTATGCTGGATCCTTACTCCATATACGGCTATTTTGCCCCTTACACATATATCCATGTGTGTGTGTGTGTGTATATATAAACATATATCCATGTGTGTGTGTATTTGTGTGTATATACACATATATCCATGTGTGTGTGCGTATATACACACACATATAATATGTGTATATAATACGTGTGTGTGTGTGTGTATATATATATATATATATATATATATATATATATATGTGTGTGTGTGTGTATATTTATATATATATATATGTGTGTATGTGTATATATATATATATATATATATATATATATATATATATATATATCCATGTGTATATATACACACACATATAATATATGTATATAATACGTGTGTGTATGTATATATATATATATATATATATATATATACACACACTTTTATTTCCTATATATGTATAATATATTATAAAATAATTAAATCATTTTATAATATATTATACATATATTGGTAGGCTTGGCCTGAAGTTGTGGGAGAGGCTATAGACCTATAAAAGGGACTCCCCACTTTCCCTACTTACCTTTGTTGGTCAGACGAATAGACTGTTCAAGGTCAGCATTTGCGTGAGATCCACTTCCAGGTCATACAAGATGCCATTTTGGTTTCACCTCTGCTCCATGAGGTCTCCTACTCCAAGCTGTGTCCAGGAATCCTGCAGCAGGGTTTTCCGTTAATACAGTGTCTTTCTCTCCGGTTAGCATCACATTTGGTGTCTCAGGGACTCTCAAACTGTAAGTTGACCCACCTGTCGTGCCAGGATTAGTTCCCACGGCGTTCAGCATAACACGTGTCCTCACTTTACGGTTTCCTTTCGTTTTGCACAGTTATTTCGTTACCTTATACTCACCTAGCTGTTCATGTAAAATCTGTTGTTTAAAATCTGTTTTGGTTAAAACTACAAACGAAATACAATTTTTCGCCTACACACTGATCCCTACCGGTCTTTTGGTGTACTACAGGCTTCTTAGACATTATTGCATTTCATGTACAAACTAACGAACCACTGCATTTTTCACCTACACACTGACCCCTATCGGTCATAAAGTGTATTACAGGCTTCTTAGACGTTTTTTGCATTTCATGTACAAACAAACGAACCACAAAATTTTTGCCTACATACTGACCCCTACCGGTCAATCGGTATACTACAGGCTTCTCAGACTTTATTTCACTTCATAAGCAACCAAACTAACTACAGCATTTTCGCTTTTATATTGACTCCTATCTGTCAAACGATATACTACAGGCTTTTCAGACATATGGTTATTCCCCTCATAACATTGCCACTATAATTATAATTACAAAATAACACTTCCTTACAACTCATGCTTGCTATAATATAATCATTCCTGCATACCTGCCTACATAGGCATTTAGTTACATTTACTGACAATACGCATACATTTACCCAAGAATGCACATACTATTTAAAGCACTATGCAGGATTCCAGAGTCTAATACAGAATATTTGCATGTTTGCACGCTTAAAATATAAGTCCTTCCAATTACATATTTTCACATATTAGGTTATTCAGCTGCCAGTCATGTTTCACTACACTCATGTTTCGGGGTACAGTAGTATTCCATATCACACATGCTCTAACACTCCCGACAAGTTAATTTCCTTCAAACAGGGGCATTACAAGCATACAATAAACATTGGGACAGAGCACTTTGCTCTATTAAACTTGCATAACACACATATGGGTATACACTTTCAAATGTCTATATTCAATTTTCATACATTGTTTTACTTGTCCGGGAAACAGGTATTAATAACCCTTACGACCAGTTAGGGTATCTAATCATACTACCAGTTACATACACCTGCTCATGTGGTATATACATACATTTTCTGTTTCCCCCTGGGTATATCCTTAGCGTACTGGCAATTGGGGATTATAAGTTTCCAATAGGTATTCTCCTTTCTTGGCATCTACGCCTGTCGTATAGTGGTCCCACGAGGCCAACACCCTGCCTCAATGCTCGGAGGAAACACCCATCGGGCCACTCGTGAGCTAGCCACCTCACGTGGTATATAGAGAGGGCCTCACCTGTCACTCCCTTCCCCTTTTTTCTGGTTACAGTCACCGTGAGGCCAACATCCTGCCACTACGTTTGGTGGCCACAAAAATCCCCTTGCGCCGTTGCATAGATAGAGCCTCTCAAGCCACTTGGCAACTAGCAGGGCCTCACCTGTCACCAAACAAAGGATTAATTGTTTTGCCATGCGGCTTTAGCTAGCAAGCCAGTACTAGCACACTGTGGGTTCATATAATAATGGCTATCTTCATGTTTTTTAGTATGTATCAAGCAGGT